AAAATCTTCTTTCACAAAAAAATCTCCCACCTCCCCCCCCCCCCAGATAAATAATGACCGGTCCCTTATTAAGAGACAAAAAATATTAATTCTTGTAAGAAGATGGGGGTGGGGAGCCCATCTCGCCCCCCTTCTCCCTCGTCCCTATTCCAAGACAAAAATGGAGATGGAAAAATAATTTGAATGATAAAACGATTACCATAGTTATCACAAAATATTGTGATTTGTTAGTGTTTTGTAAGCCATTAAGTGAGTCGTTCTTTGGCATCAGCAAATACTTGCTCACTCACCGTTAACAAATCACAATATTTTGCTATAATAATTGCTTATCATTCTACTATTTCTGATTTATTATAAATATTAGGTAATTCAATTATTGACAAAACGGCTTCATTAACAATTTAACTTATTATTAAAATAAATTATCAAATAACTTTAAACTTTAATTACATGATATTCTCTTCTCTTTTTCTAATTCATGCAGTTATGACATAATATTTGCAGTCACACTGAGAGAGCAAGTGCAAAATAATGCACAAATTCTTGCTGTCTGACTGCCTTATAAGTTAAAAAAGGTTGGGTGGCCACTGCATGGCATATGTCACACTGTAACGATAATGATAATAGTATTACTAAAAAAGAATTGCGAGGGAATTGCCCTATTTCACTATGACGTCACATCAAAACAATCTATTATTTAAACGCAAAGGGTCATGGTCGTCAGAGGGGGTCAAATCAACGCAAATTCACTGAAAATTGTTCTAAAACCCGTATCAATCCACGAAGAGAAGTAGAATAGCCAGCAAACTCTCAGAATATTTTTTAGTACATATTAACACATATTATACCTGAAAACCAGGCCATTTTAGATTAAACTGTTTCACTAGGGACAAATTTTGTTGAGTTTTCTATTGGATTTGGCAATTCTATCCCCCACATAAACAAGCACTGACGTCATAGTGAAATAGGGCCATTGAAGGAATAATAATGATATTGTAAGAACAAAGCCAGCCTGTCATGTCACCCCTAGCCTCCTGCACAAACATTCTTATTAGGGTTGCATGGTCATCCTGCATCTCTAGAGGAGATGAGAAATATTTGCCTGGTAACATGATAACATTAAGACTTCTATGAAGGAATCTCCAGGGATGGATCAACATTTGTCTTATTCCTGTTGAGATGACTTGGAGGTACTTGGACACCATTATATAATTGCTTTTTACTGTAACTTAACATTAACCTTTTGTATACAGTTCAAACAGACTAGCAAAGGCATGGCTTCCATCATGCACCATGCTGAATTTTTAAACTAAATCATGTGAGTGTAATAAGAGATAACTAGCTAAAAACTAGTGTGAGCTGCGTCGGTGTTTCTAATGAAACAGTAATGATAAAAAAGTACTTTTTACTCTTTTGCTCCTACGAAGGACTAGTGTCCAAAACGTCAGTAAGTTTTTTTCATCTTTTCACAGTGCATAATTTACCTTTTTATCATTACATGTGAGTGTCATGGAGACATGTTTTTTACTTATCACACATCACACAAAACATTGTGATGTACGATCATGAATCACACAGTTAATTATTTTGGTTCACAAATTAGCCAGGTATTATCAATTGAATGATTTGGAAATTGAATAAGCCTTCATAGTTTAAGAATCGATTCCACTGCGCATGCGATTTTATCCCGAATTTCTCACCTTCTTTTGTTTAATTAAGAACAAAAGGAGGTTTAGACAAAAGAAGGTGAGAAATTTGGGATAAAATCGCATGCGCAGTGGAATCAATTCTTAAACTATGAAAAGGCTTATTCAATCAACCCTATCACATGATTGGATTCAGGAATTCTGCAATCGAACGAAATTGAATGCTAAAAAAATTGTGATTTAATTGTATTCGATTTCAATTGAATGAAGAGAATGTACAATTATTGAACATAAACAATTGGATTGACTCCAATCAATCCTAAATTACAATCAAACGTAATCAAATGTTCAATAAATTGTGTACTGTGTTGTGATTGGCTCCAATTTTTTTGTGAATTAATTTCATTCAATTGCCAAATGCAATCGAATCCAATCATTCGATTGGATCGGACTTGATGGGATCAAATGTTTGATTTTATTCAATTTATTGGGCCGGGCACAAGTCACACAGAAACACTTTGCCACTTTTGAAGATGCCTCAGAATACTGAACGTCCAAACTTCAGGGCCCCAGTTGCTCAATATTCGCTTTGTGTATTCATTATAGTCCAATCATTTAGATTTCAAGTGCTTGTTTTCACTTTTTTCATCATGTGGACACTTTATCGCAAACCAAATTACAATGCCAATATTAGTAGTCAGAACAATGAGCATCAGACCAATGCTGTTGTAGAATGTAGGTAGTGACATGCCAGGACCCGTCAGTATCTCTCGTCTAGTAGTCATATCTAGGTATACTGCAATAAAGTCATCAACTGACCCCAATGCACATAAAATGTGCAGAAAATGATGGCTTTGGCCAAAGAAGTCAAAGAAACCAGGGATGAATCTCTCGGGAATTCGGCTGGCGTTTGATATGGCAGCAACAATGAAATAAATGACTTGCCTCTTGAAATATTTGAATGACTCTATGTTACAGTCGGTAGCACTTTCGCACAGGAAAGTACGGCTGAAGTAGGGCAATGTGTTATAAACCCAGGACAATGAATAAGTACCTGTACGTATGAGGAACTTGTGCTTGATCCAGGCGTGTCTAGAAGCACAACACATGTAGGTTGAAGCAACTGAAATAAAAGCAGAGATGGCCAGGAATACAGTAGAGGACTTCAACAACTTCAGATCTGTGTTGATAGGACGAGAATAGAAGAAGAAAACCTGTCCTGCTGTAAAGGTGTATGTACTGATAGCCGCATAATCCAAGAAGAAGCAAATGTGACGCACTTTTATGGACATACAGTTGAATAAATGAGCAAAAGAACTCATAATAAACATTGCACAGATTCCCACCGAATAAGCCAACAATGGATAAACAAATGAATCTTGTAGTGGATTATTATCCAGAAACACTGGCACACACAAGAACAGAAAACCAATAACAGCAGCGAAATGGCTCCAGACATTAATAGTTTCATTATGTGTCTCAAATATACTGCATATACACTGCCACAAGGTAAAACCAGGACTGCGATATCCTGAAGTGATGAAGGGCTCACGATACTCGAAGCAAACCTGTTGATCAGTCAGACATCGACTGTTCTTTCGCGATAACACTTCATTATTGTTGTGGTAAGGACCTTTCTTTAACACTGTCATTTCCCTGCAGAATTTAGGAGACAGGAACAAGAAAATTATATACATAAATATATATATTATTTGGAATGCCCTTTTTAAACCACACCTCACGTGACTTAAAGGGGTCAAAAAAACGACCCTCAGGAGTACCGTTAGAATTTATCTCCTCGCGGGCTGCCTGTGGTAACTACACTATTACTACATTATTTCATTATGACGTCAAAAACGATTACTAATTTTTAGAGCCACATTTTAACAGTGTTTATACATAGAGTTTTCAAGTCTTGTCCAGAAATATTTCAAGAAAACCTTGAATCAATCCATTTGTTACTCTGAATGGAATCAAGACTATTCCTTACTACTTACAGTATGCATTTATCAATGAGTGGCCTGGGCTTCTATGGAGCTGTCTCTAATTGCTGCTTTAATAATAACTGAGTTGAGTATGTTTGATGAGTTATTCTCTTGACCCTGACAACAAGGGTTTTTCTCCTTGTTCTCCAGTTTTCAATGAGTTGTTTGCAGAGTGTTGCAATAATGAATAGAGTGATAGTGCACGTTATTAGTATAAGACATTTGTAAAAATCATACAAAAATATATTTAATTATGAATAATTTTATTTAAAATTCTTTCAATGATAAATATAAATCAATCAATTTTGCATAAGAGAAGTGAATGAATTACAATCAGACCGTCTTAGGGAATAAAGATTCTTTGTTTGAGGTGTATTAATGTGTCCACTTATAAACAACTTCAAACAAAGAAAAGATACTCTTAGGAATAACATGGTCTGAAGAAATAATTAGATTTTTATAATTCCTCTAACTGCCAAATTGGAATCAGTCTATGGGCTTTTGGCAGTCCTTTGAATTTTTCTTGTACACTAATTTCCTAATTGGGCAGCATGAAGATATTTTACGTATAATAATATGATTGATCTAAAAAAGATAGCATGCGTGCAGCATAATAAGAGTTTTTATAAACCAGGGCAGCCTTCAGGCACAAGCTTAAATTATTGCTATCATTAATTCTATTTGGTTGATAATTCAATATTTCAGTTAAAACACTGATATTTTAAGAAAATGTCTGCTCTTGAATTTCTAAAAATATGTAAAAAAATTGTACATCAATTTAAATATATCAAATTAATTATATATATTTGCATATTGATTTAATATACAACAAATTAATAACTACATAGTTTCACAATTATTTATGTACAAAATAATATTAAAAAATATCTTAACTCATATTTTCTCTCAATATTGCCAATCATTGCAATCAATGAAATCACAACAAAAAAATACTAGAACATCATCCAATTTAAATGCTAAGTATATGCCAGAACTAAAAAAATTATCCTTACTTTATATTGGTGTTAATATAGTGAAATGAAATTGCAGATTCAACAATAGAAGACAATTAAGAATTAAAGGGAAAAAAAGTTGCTTATACACTCAAATTAGACAAGTAAATATTTTTGTTGCTGTTATTCTATTTTATTTTATACTTTTATTATCTTTGTTGTAGTTATATTGAATTAATGCTGTCATAAAAAAATATATATATACATTAAAAAATAATTATTGTAAAGGATTCATTGTAAAGGATTCATTGCAAAGGAGATGACATTGAAATGTTCCATGGAATTTGCTAAAATTTTCCTGCATGATCATAGCCAAATGTGTAACTAATATAAACAATATCATCAATAAAGACATAAAAAAAGAGAAAAAAGCTAAATTATTGAGCAAAATATTGTATTATTTTTAATGATAATGAAAATATAACCACTTGTATTCATAAAACTCCATAAAATAATTTTCCTCTCAGCTAATAGTATCCCTTTTCATCATTCCCTTGGATAATTTGGACGTTTTTGGAGCTTTCATTGTTTGCACAGCACCAAATAGATGCTTTGATGCGGCTAACAGACGATATCGCTGTAGAAGATTGCGGGCTCGTACATGTTCATTACGAATGTTCTCAGTGTAGTTGGCAGGAAACCATCCACAGACTCCATCGCACAACCTTTCACCATAATACCAACCTAAACAGTAAGATTTAAGATATTCTCTTACTACCAGCATTTCTCAAACACACATGTGAAATACAACAATTTTTAATTGCTACAAATTAAAGTTTTGGTTGATGTCAATCAAAGTGTTAATTAAAGTGGCTTTGTCCGAGAATACAAAGCTTACAAGGGCACATATTGTTTATAGTATGTCATGGAAATGCCTTAAGGTGCATTACAGTTACAGGGGTAAGAGAAGTGGAAACAAGTGACTGAGATCGCACAGGTTCAAAAAATGGATTCCTGTTTTGCTTTTCATTAATGGAAAAAAAAATTGCATATCCTTTTTTTACCATCTGGTAGTTTTCTTTGTACATTTATAACATCTCCTTCATGTAAGGGCAATTCATCAGGTTGCTGTGGACTGTAGTCATGTATGACTTGTACTTGAGGGCAATCTGGGAAGAAGGACATCATGTTTAATTATTGGTGATGTACAACCGCAAAGTCATTTAGCAATATTTAGAATGAATACTTACCCCATGCTCCGTACACCTTTTCTCCCTCTTGTTCTCCCTTAGGGGGGTTGAATGCTTCCAGCCATCTAGTTTTGTCTGTTCTTTAAAACAAAGAAACTGGCTGTTAATCATAATTCATACTAATTACAGTATCAATGTTTATAATTAGTTGCAATAAAAAGACTGCAACAGGGTTTTCTCAGCTGCATTTATACTCACTCGCTCTCAGCACATAAAATGAAGTCTTTGGTTTTTGCATTGGAATTTTCAAGTAATATCAAAGAGAGCATGTAGTCCAGTTGTATTGCAGTCTGATCGGCAGATTCTTCCACTTTAGTCATATGACGAGCTGCATAGTCTAAGACTCGATACCGACGTTCACTGTCAATAAACAACATTAGTTTTGTGCAACTATTAGTCCATCTATTGCCTCTTCTAATAAAGGAGGTTCATAATTTATGTGGAGGGGGGGAAGCTATGGGCATTTTACATTCGACCTATTTTTAGTAGCCCCACAAAACTACAGACTTTCCATAGCACCAAATATCATAATATCAAAAACATTTGTCTGATCGTTACCAGTGAGGGAAAATGGCTGGTCTCCTCCAAACCCCCCATAAACTATCCCTGATACTGTAAATATGAATGGATGACTGATAACTGGAGAGAAAACCTGTCCAACCCTACCTGTTACTGTTTCGTACTTACCCTTTTTTCTTGGTGATCAGTAATAAATCATTAAAAAGAAACATGTACACAGGCTTAAGTTTCAGTTTCTTTTTACTCAAGGGGTTTTTTGTTTGTTCAATCACAAGAATCACCTCTCCTCTGCGCAGAAGCCATCTGTTAGTTGTCACTAATGCTATTGGCTGAAAAAAAGATAAAGTAAAAAAACACTAATGGTTTATGTTTTGACCAATTGAAAATAACTTAACAAAAGTTTTTACAAGCTGTTAAAACTTGGCCAGTTATTTTCAACAGCAGGATTTGAAGGGAAGGTAAATCAAAACCAAAGCTGTCTTAATTCTTGTTAATCCATCCCAATCTTCCTGCATGACAACAAGATATGATTGAAAAATTTAAGCACAGTTTAATCTGCTAAATCCTCAATAAATAAAGTGCTATTATTATTTAAATCTGTTACCAAGTATAGGTTCTTTACCTTGATGGTGAACTCAATTTGAGGCTGAAGGTTAACCAATTCTTCCATACGCTCCATTTTACGAGCTCCTTCATTGCAGTTTTGAACAACCTGAAAGGGTAAATAAAAATTTCAAGTAATGCCAAGCAGTGAGTAATAGTTCAGTATGTTGTAAAGTGTCATACAGTGAGTAATAGCATGTTGTAAAGTGTCATACAGTGAGTAATAGCATGTTGTAAAGTGTCATACAGCGAGTAATAACATGTTGTAAAGTGTCATACAGTGAGTAATAGCATGTTGTAAAGTGTCATACAGTGAGTAATAGCATGCTGTAAAGTGTCATACAGTGAGTTATGGCACATTGTAAAGTGTCATACAGTGAGTAATAGCATGTCATAAAGTGCCATGCAGTAAGTAATAGAATGTAGCAAAGCTTGTGCCATTTCAGTGTAAAAATATACTAGTTTTTACCTTACTAACAGCTTTCAGTGCCGCATCAGTCTTGACAAATTCATCACTCCCAGGCTGACAACGGTGACAGATAGCCTAAGAACCAACATGAAACAAGCATATTATACATGACACGTACAGACAGAATAATAAATAAAGGATATTACATGGGCGCGCAGAGATATGAAATTTATCTTCGAGTGCTTAAAAGATCTCTCATGAGTGAGCGTAGGGAACGAGTGAGAGATTTTCAACATGAGAAGATAAATTTCGTATCTCCAAGCGCCCATGTAATATTCTGTTTATTAYATAATTATCAATGAAGTATGTTTTGGCTTTTTCAGGCAATTCTTTCCTTGTTTTTTTGAATAGTCATCGCAATGGTGTTATTTTCACGTGTGAAGATATAAATTTTTCGAAATAGAGAAAAATAGATATTTCATTGGTAATTATATAATAATAATTATTATTAATTGATAAAGTAAGAATACTCACATCAACAAGAAGTGGTAATCTTGTTATTCTTTGCATAGGAAGAACAAGAAAAGAGTGCATACTTAAACACTGGGCAGTAGAGCACTTTTCTAGCCGTTGGATTGCTTCAACATATCTAGGATTTTTCCTTTTACAGAAATTGATAAAGAATAAGTAAGAGCATGAAAGAGCATCATCAGATGCACAACAATCTAGGATGAGGGGACAATACCTGAGTTCCTTTATCACTCTTTCCTGATAGAGTTGGTTGGAACAATATTTGACATACACTTCAAAGTACTTGGTTGCCTAAAGTATATACAAAGTTGCATTTAGTAATAAGCCTTGTTTGAAATCTGTATTTGGTAGAGTTTATCCATAAAATGCTTACAAATTCTTCAATGATATCACTGATGGATGAAATGACCAATGATTCTTTCTGTCTTTTTCGTAACGCCTCAAGAAACCTTGAAAAACAATAAGATAGATGGTCAAGTAAAACAAGTTTGGACCTGCATGTTATCATGACAGTCTTACTTACATTTGACTAGTCTCCACAACACCTCTCACGTTAGAAAATAAGATATGATGCTGTGCTTTCTCTATAACACCCTGTGGTGTCCCAGGAGTCAGTTCAGGGGATTTCATGAAGTAGGATTCCAAAATGTTAATGCTTTTCAGATAAGATGCTTCTGATGTAATCACCTCAAACATTGCCTAAAATATCCAATCAAAAAAAGTCATTAATAATAATAATAATAATTAACTTTGTTTATAGAGGATAACACATGACAGTAATTGAACTGATAAACTTGTGGTCCGCTGTTAACGTCTCTAGTTAATTAGGGACGGGACCGCCATTAACGTGATCATCCGAGCCATGCAAAGGTCTAACCATTTGCAGATGTAATTACAAAGGCAGCACCTTCTCCTCAGTTATTTTAAAACCCTGAGTGTTGGTCCGGCTGAGGCTTGAACCACAACCTCCTGCACAACAGACCAACGCTCTTACCAACTGAGCTAACCGGCTGGCGGTTATAAACTAAAGGTATTATTTTGTTCTGCATCTTATTACACCTAGGCACATCTAACTTGTATATACCTCTTGTCTCTTGCGTTCTTCAGGATCAATATTATCCAGGATCCCACTAGAAACAACCTATTAAAAATATCACATCATTACTATGTCAGTGCATGGTACTGTTATAATGCTAGTGATAATTAAGAAAGTTACCTCTGGTATCTCACACCATAACATCCTCATATTCCTTAAGGTTCCTTTGGTTAGATCATCAATAAATGTTTCTGTTTGTTGATTACTCTTTGTTCGTTTACGACTCAATGTTCGGTCTTTTTGAAGCGTTCTGGCTGCATATATTTGATAAAGTGGCTCTACAGGTAAAGTAGCAAACATTTCAGTGATACCCTGTCTTCGACTCTGAATGAATTAAACCTTTAATTTAAATAAACCCTTTTGAATTCATAATTACCTTCAACACTTTCATCATCCCCTAAAAGAAATTTATTAATAAATTAAATTCAAATTGTAAACTCAAATTCTTCATTAAGACCAGTTTAGTTACATGTATGATACAGTAAGCAATCTACAGAATGGCAGGGAAGCAAGATTATAAAATAATATTGAATGCTCCTCATAGGAATTAATTTTCATTTGTTAAGTCTTCCCCCCATTTTTTGGTATTACATGGAATCCCTGACTTTAAATAACTACAGTTTTATAAATAGATAGCATACCCCAAAAAGTTTCTTCATCTGAATATTCTTCACTAGAACCTTGGGTATCAGGTGGCTAATGTGGATAAAATCACAATAATTAATTTACATCAGTTAAATGAGGTCTGCACAACTAAGCATCCTGACTCTGAATTAAATGATTAGCCTAGAGGTTGTTTCAGGGTTCAACCTTAATACAAGGGTATTGATAAAATTAACACATTTGACCATTTTAATTATATATACAACCATGATATTGATATGTTAAACGATACAAAGAATTACCAACAAAATAATCATACTTAATACCAAAATAAATGATTTACTATAAAAGTTATTAATATTTAAAGATATTTGTTCTCAATTTGTTAATTTATCACTTACTTCAACGTATTCACCATCAAAATCATCATCATCATCATCATCCTTAATCACCTCATCTGTGAAGGGGGTTATATCATAGCTGCCACTGTGGATTGTTCTATGTGGAGGTAGTGGAGGAGGAGTGTCTTCACCATCATCATCATCATAATCCTTAATCACCTCATCTGTGAAGGAGGTTACATCATAGCTACCACTGTGGATTATACTTTGTGGAGGTACTGGAGGAGGAGTGTCTTCACCATCATCATCATCATCATCCTTAATCACCTCATGTGTGAAGGGGGTTACATTATAGCTACCACTGTGGATTATACTAGTATGTGGAGGTAGTGGAGGAGGAGTTTCTTTAGGATACTCATATTCATGATAGTCTTCTGAGTCTGATGATTCAACTGAAAAAAGTGAAATGTTTAATTCATTGCACCCAGAGATGTCAAATTACATAAATATAACATACCTTCAATATTATCATCTTGATCATCACTTACAATTTGGTCAGGAATGGTGTATTCAGTTGAACTGACAGATTCTGATTCACGTCCCAATGGTGTATGCAAGAAGACAAAAGTGTCATCATGTTAATGTACTGCAATACTTTAATTTAATTTAGAAAACTCATTAATAATTCATGAAGAAAA